AGTTTTATGATTCATTTCGTCGTTTAAAGTACAAAACCGCGTATCGTTATTCTGCAAAACCGCGTAACTGACATTGGCTGCCAAAAATTGGATTTGCTCAAACAAGCTCTTGGCTCAATCCTTATCCATTCGTCCTGAAATATACTAGCCAGAAATGCGATTGCTTTATAAAAAAGAGAACCATTTTGAAATATGAGTGTTTTTACTTTCTAGGAAATTATTTCTAAAAATTCACATACGCGTTTTTGCATTTTGTTCATACACGGTTTTGCACTTTAAACGACGATTTAATTCGTGTTGATTTTTGGGACATTTTTTCGTTGAAGGTGTTGCACTTTTTCATCCATACTCAAATTTTTTGTACATCTAATATGTATAAAGAAAATGCAAAAATAAAAAGATATTGAAAATTCGAACTCTTAGCCGCACTGGCACTTTGTAATCCTTAAATTTAATGGACTATAAAATTGTATACCCGAAAGTTTTCTAAAATATCTGACAACAATGTTCTAAATTTGCATGAACATTTTTCTTGGAAAGTTTTAAGTTTTAATTTTTATGGTTTTTGTTGTTGCGTTTTTTTGTTGTTGCATTAAAGAAAGGTTTTCCTATAGATTTCTGTTTTCTTACATGCAATAAGTACCTCTCGACGATCTTCAATTTATTGGCACATTGACCTGCATTTAGGCACATTTTTCCGGAGAATGCGGCCCAATTTCAAATTTTGATTTTCCATCACTGGTATACATATACATATGTATGTACGTAAATTTAGTTGAGAATGAGAGCAAATAATGTACGCGCTCTTTGACCAATATACTCAGTATAAAATATATATATATTATACTGTGATCAGTGATCACCTGCGTCTGTTTCAAGTTCATATGTACCTATGTATGTATGTATGATCCGTACACATAGCACAACAAAACCCAAAAGCTTTGTTTTTACTTTTATTAGGCCTAAAATTATGCTGTAAAACTTGAATAGTGGTTCCCATTTATTGCACGAATTTGTAATGTATTTGTTAAGATTTTTGGCCAAGTAGGAGTCAGGTAGTTGGTAATTAAATTTTTTTTTGGGGATAACTGAATTGACCTGAAAATTATACCTTTTTCAACAAAAAAAATAAATCTTCCGAAAAAAAATCAAACTACATATCAGTGCAGATTTTGTAGTAGAATAATTTCTTTTTTTCAGTAGTAATTGTATCAATATAAAATTTTGACATTTTTATTTTTAAAAATCGTCTCTGTATATGATCACTTATAGCGACCATACTTATGTGAAATAAAGGACATTTTTTCACAATAATTTGACCCTACTAACAACAAATTAAAATAAACGTTAATTAGGTGATTCATACGCATGAATACATATGTACAGTGAAAGCTCTCATAGCCGACCGCTGTAATAAGCGGGCATCTCCTTTAAGCGGACAAATTCTTGGGAATGAACAATTTTTATTTATTTTTTTCAATTCAAAATGCTCTCCCATACGTGGACTTTCCGATAAACGGACGCGGACACTCAAAAATATCCAGTTATGAAAAAAATATCCCATAAGCGGACGCGAAGCTCTAAGAGGTGGTCAATTTTATTTAATTTTTTTCAGTCAGATGTTGACTCTTGCGCTTGTGCATATCGTCGGTGATACTGCAAAGTGTTCTGTCACTTGTTACCTCTGGTGCTTAATTGATCTGTTATCTGTATCTGATCGCTTCTGGCAATTACTCGTTAGAAGCAATACATTAAAATTATTTATTCAAATTGAAATAGTTTCCAAATCTTAAATTTGGTTTTTGTTTGGTTTCCTGTAACTATGAAAAAGTTTCTGCGAAGTTCATAATAAAATAGTTTTCAACGAAAAATTGACTCAGACAAATTTCAGGAAAACAGCCTAAAGCGCATCCGTTTTACAACCATTTTCGATAGTTTTCTGCACATACGTTTCGGATGAACACTTTAGTGATCTGAAAAACGTCCGAAAACGGATGAAACATCAGGTTTTTATACGGAATTGTTTCTATTTTCGGATAGGTTTCCGGATATTTTAAATCAATTGAAATATACATACATACATAATATGAACATACATGCATACATATTTATTATATTTTCTTCCCTTTTCTTGTGATTAAATATTTGTCTGTTCTCAAAAAACTGCTCAATTCACACACGGCATGCATATTGTGTTTAATGACCTTCGACGTAGCAGTTACAATTACTAATTTTCAATTATCCATTTTCTTGAAACAGTTGTAATTTTTTGCTGAAAAGTTGATATCTTATCGCTCCAGTTTTCCCGTTTTGGTCATAGGACTGTCTCCTTCTAACACAAAAATTTCAATCCAATTCAAGTAAAAAAGAGGCTTCTTCCAAACTGCAATAATATTTGAAAAAGTTAGAGCTATGGCTAGGTTTTTGGAGGATAAAGGTTAACGAGAGCAAGTGTGTTCAGACAAAATTTACTCTGAAGAAAGAATCTTGCCCACCACTAAAAATTAACAGCAAGGCTATACCACAAAAATATAGTGACAAATACCTTGGGATGACACTAGATAGAATACTTACCTGGAAAAAGCATATAGAAAACAAAATTTCTCAAGCGAAACTAAAACAAGCAAGCCTTCAATGGGTTAAAGGACACAAATCTAAATTAAGCCTAGGTAACAAGATGTTGATTTTTAATATGATGAATAAACCATATTGGGCATATGGACTTGGGCTTTGGGGCACAGCGTGCAAATCCATTTTGAAAAGACTTCAAAGACTGCGGTCGAAAATTTTACGCACCACATGCGGAGTACATAAAAATACTAATATTCACATAGATCTTAATGTAAATACGTGCATGAGGACATAAGAGGGCTAAGCACCAGTTACTCAGTACGGTTAAGGAACCAACCAACTCGGCTGGCAAGAGATCTTCTAATGAGCCATATAATATATGTGGATATCCGCAATATATCAATGCCGGCTCTGGAACTCGTCCTTTCAGACCGACCACCCATCCCCAGGGTCAGTGCGGCTGGGAAACCTGTCCTTTCCGACCAAACATAGCCTACTGGATTGTAATTACTTAAATATGCAATACCGCGTATGAAGATAATGCAAAACCGCGTATGTGACGTTGCATAAATTATTTTCTAGAGAGTAAAAACACTTATATTTCAAAATGGTTCTCTTTTTTATAAAGCAATCGCATTTCTGGCTAGTATATTTCAGGACGAATGGATAAGGATTGAGCCAAGAGCTTGTGTGAGCAAATCCAATTTTTGACAGCAAACGTCAGTTACGCGGTTTTGCAGAATGACGATACGCGGTTTTGTACTTTAAACGACGATATACAGATCTCTTAACGGCGTGTCTTTAACAAGTGTCGTTCTACTGCATAAAACCTAGAAACTGAAAAATACGATGGTTTTCCTTTAAAAAGAAGATCAACAGAATATTTGCCACCCGTCTGGCGGGATATTGTGTTCTGAAAATGATGTTCTACCAAAAGATCATCGGAATCCATTGACAGAGGTGGTTTGGATTCCTCGATCTCCCAGAATTTGTGCAGTGTATGATCTACATCCGAAACCGTAATATGCGAAGAGGTGGACGAAATTTCTGAATCTGTACGATCCACAAGCAGTTATATTTCCGAATCTGAAATTTGAGTTGGCTTACTTTAAATCTAGGGTGTGATACGATTTCCGGCTCAATTTAAAATTAATAACACAATTTTTAATTCAATTATATCGTAGCTGGATTAATGAAGTAGTGTAACATGCAAAATATAGTTTTGGGAAAAACGAATTATAAGTTTTTATAATACAACCGACCAAACCTAAACTTTACATGTGCGCTTCTTATTCAAAATATTCACATTTCAAGTACACCACACTCCTTAGCTAATAATTCACAAAAAATATGGTTCATGTTTACTAGGAAATGCCATTTGAGCCCATTTTTCTGAAAGCATCTGCTTATACACTATTTTATCTTTGAACATTTTTATATGAAATCATTGTACACTATTTTATTTATTTGCATACTCAGAAAAACTAATTGATGTATGTCGATATTACACTGTTTTATTATTCACATTTTGAAGCTGCCTGTGAAAGTTAGCAGCAATATAATGAAGTACTCTAACGTTATTTTAATATTACAAGAATTTCTTTGGGATTTTGTTAATAATAGTCCAAGTGCACCATACACTATTTGTAAACAATTGTAGTACCTACACTGTCATTATAAAATTGCGTTTTTCGCGAATAAGTTCGTGATCCAAAAAGATGTTAAAGAGAACTAAAGATTTTTATAATAGATTAAGGGATTGTCTATGATTATCGAATAACAGTGCATTTACACTATTTCTTTATTCCAAAATGGTTTCAATGAGGGGAAATACATTCGGAGGTTTGACATTGTCTACCGAGGGCGACCGCTATTGGAAAAAGTTTTTCTTGAGGTATCGAGCTCTGGACCTACCTGGACCTACCGAGTGTTAATGCGCACCTTAAATCACTCGATCACGGCGTAGTAACTATAATAATACTTAAGGTACTAGCTCTAAGTATGCATGTGGAATATATGTATAAAACCTTGATTAAAACGCTTTCACAGTTTTGATTATTAAATTTGTTCCTTATCACATTATAAAACATAAATTTTAATTTAATTAATTATCGCATATAAAAAATGTATAAAAGTTCACAACTTAGTGCTAATAAATCAATCCATCAATAAAAAATACACAAAGAAAACAAAAAACAATTTCGTGGCTCAAATATCTGGACAATAATAACTCATCAATTTCGCCATACACATGCGTTTACATACATATGCATTTAAAAAGCTGATTAGAGGACATTGGAGCATGGGGCTTAAAATCAGAGGCACTTCAATTTAAGTTCTACCCATCGCTTTCGTCATCAGCAGCACCAACGCCACCGTCGGCAAGATCATCAAGTTCATCATTCACTGGAGTTAGCGATTAGATGCATTTATTCGATGGCCTCGATTATTTCATATTCCTCATCCAGTGAATGGTCGTAGTCGATGTTGTATTTGTTTTTGATTTTACTCTTGTAGTCTTTAAGTTCATCATTATCCACATTATTGGCATTGGTTGATGTACTTTTATTCTTGTTATGCTTGCCCTGCGAATTATTGCTGTTGCGGCTATTGCTGTTGCTGTGATTACTATTATTTCGGCTGTTCAAGTTGCGACCATTTGATGATACACCACTTTGGTTTGATATACCGTAGCCGATATTATTCTTATTCTCATTCCTTTTGCTATTGTTATTGCTCTTATATTGATAGTTGTTATTTTTATTGTTGCTATTATTATTGTTGCTGTCATTGTTACTATTTCCACTACTATTTTGAGAGTATTTGATGTTGCCTCTAAAACTACTTTTTGGTAAATTATGAGTGGTCAGCAATGAGTTTTGGTGTAACTGTTGCTGATATTGGGATTGTGGCTGTGGTTGAGATTGCTTATTAAGCCGTGTTTGTGTTCGCGCAAATTCTGATCCGGTTAACTCACTCAGGCCATTAATTTCGCGAGCATCATAATATGCATCTTCCACATGAAATTTTTTGGGCTTCCTTTGTCTTTGTAGTTTTTGATGTTGTTGTCGTGAATATTGCAGCTGTTGCTGTCGTTGCCGTTGGTTTGATGGCTGTTGGGTTTGATAATTTTGATTATGTTGGCTTAATAAGCTGGATTGATTTATATGATTGGCCTTATATCAGAGGTACTGCTGAGGATTCGGTTCGGTGGTTTGGTATAGCTCATCGTTGTTTTTGTACAATTGTTCAGCTACTGGACAGTTAACATTCGTCCACCAATCACAAACGCGTACTGCTTGGTTGAAAACGGTGCCGTTGGGACATATAAAAGAGTACTGATGGCCAGAGTGCAGACACCAATGCCAGATCTAAAAAAGAAAATATATTTTTTAAGGAAGATGAAAAAGGCAATTTTCTATTTATTATTTGTTTCAACATTGTTTTTTTTTTAATTTTTTATCCTAAATTTGGGAGTATAAATAAAATAGTTGTATTAAAATTTACCTTTTAAAAATAATTAATATCTTTTCTTAAAAACGTTTACATTTTACATTAAATTCGATAACTACTTGCCAAAGTCTTTATTTTTACATTAATAAAATTTTAGTGGACATATTTAAAAACTTTTAGTGTCATTATGTCATCTGATTGTTTCACAATGCATCTAGCCAGGACTATTACAGTTTTCTATATCGGATACAATTATTTATGATATATTTCAGACACTGAAATTACAATTTCGATATTGTCTTTGTGCATGTCTATCAAGTAACTTGAAAACGGAATATACTTTGGAACCCATGGGTCTCATGACTTTCAGAGAAATGAGTATTATCTAATTCTAGTATATTTCGATAATATCGTTGTATCTGTGGGTAAAAACAAATATATTTTACTGTTCAATACTGGAAGGGGTGTGAAACAAAATTGATGATTTATCTCGTTAGTATGAAAACTAGATTCACAATTATTAACTTATTGAGCGTTAGACCCAGGGTTCGGAAAATATCATTTATGATTATTCGTTTTCATTCATTTATGAGATTTATCGCGATCGATAATATTCCAAATCTATTTTTGCATTCTTTTATCGCGAGTGAAAAATGCAAACAAATTTATCATCTCTTACATTCGGAATGCGATTGAAAAAAAAAATTTCCGCTGCTTTTCATTCGCGATCGAAAAAAGCAAAGAAATTTCCTCTCGGCCTCTCTTAAATGAGGAAAACGATGCAAGTAATCCATTCGCGATCACTCACAACAGCTTATCGCGATAAACTCATCGCGAAAAATTTTCAACGAGGTTCTATGGGAGGTATTTTTCGCGTTTGTTTTGGGTATACAAGAAAATACTTTTCAGTTGGAAGGAATGTATTAACCCTGCAAACCATTTCTTCAGAGTATTCTGAATCGTAAAGAAATTTTAACGAATTCGGAAAGATCCCATCCGATTTTTTTCCGTATTTTCTAAAATGAAATAAATTACGCACACTTCCATTCTTTTACGAAATTTCGGAAGAAAATCGGTGAAGAAATGAAAATAATGCTGCTATGTGAAGAATTTCTTGCACACTTTTTTCATAATTTTCTTTATTTTTCGTACAGAAATTTCTTTACGAGTTCGTGTCAACCACTTCATATAATTTTCTTTGAAGATTCGGAAAAAAATCGTTACAGAAATCAGATACTCGTAAAGATTTCGTTAAGATTTCGGGAACTTTGGTTTGCAGGGAATATACACAAATATATGAATGAATATATGACACCTCTTTGAGGTAACATTTTCGAGTGAAGAAATCTGAACTATGCATGATACAGAAAAGAAGGTAGTTTCATTTAATGACATTCGTTGTTGTTGTTAACCAATTGACTTTTAATAAAATTATGACATTTCATTAAATTCGTGCTACCTGATCACGAGTAGTAATATTTTTTTTAAGCAGAAGATTTCATCAGTCCACTTAAAGATGTCGAATATGATGAACCTGAAAATTAATGCATAATCTCAAAAAGAGGGTTGACGAAACTAGGTTTCAGAACGGGTGAAGAAAGTGATCAAAATTATACTTATATATATAATATGAATGGTGCTAATTGCTTATCGGAGGGCGGTCTGCGCAAGACGAATTCAAGTTCTTTGCATACATTGCAAATTTTATATTCGAAATTTGTTGAAGTTAATGGTGATACGCTAACCACAAAGCCTAATTTTTTGCAAAATCTGATGAGAAATTTAAAAGTAAATTAATGTTATTACTCACTTGCAAGTTTTTAAAAGTAACAGTCGCTGATATTCTTAAAACGGAGCTCGTAAATCCATCTAGGTCTTATAGAGAGTATTGCGGGAACGACCGAAACCCGCCGTCAATGAACTTATTGGGCCAAATCTTGGAAATGACTCGCGAGAACGTGATCAACTCTCACCATCTATTTGTCGACTTCAAAGCCGCTTTCGATGGCACTAAAAGGAGTTGTTTATACGCCGCGTTGTCTAAATTTGATATGCACGCGAAATTAATACGGCTTTGTAAAACGACGGGAAAAAACTCTCCGAGCAGGTTGATCCAAACGGGGTTTAACTTATTTATTTATTTATTTATTTAGTCTATGAAACAATATTTCTTACAGACTAGTAGATAAATGGTTTTGCTAATGCTAGTACAATATTAACATTACTAAGTATTGTGAAGGAGATTCAAAAAGCTTGTTTTGTCATAGAGAAATCAATTATGAGTCTTTCCGATAATATATTAAGTTCCCGCATAGATCTCGCCAAGGGAGCATTATCGGCAAATCTTGTTTAGACATTGCGACTCCCTTTCATGTGAGTTCTTTAATCTGATGTTGGAGAAGATAAGAAGACCTGCGGAATTGAGCCCCTCAACTACAAGAGTGAGCAAAACCCGCGAAGCTTTTTTGTCTTTTAGAGTTTGGGTAAGGAAGCGGAGCGAATGAGTCTGGTGGTAAACGAGGATAAGGCAAAGTATCTCCTGTCATCAACCAAACAGTCAGCACATTTGCGCCTTCGCTTGGCACCCACGTCACTGTTGACAGTTATTATTTCAAGAAAGTAGAAAATTTCGTTGACTTGGGAAGAATCACCGGGAGAATCACTGTTGCCAAAAAGTACTACTTTGGACTAAATAGTCAATTGATAAGTAAAGTCCTCTTTCGTTGTACAAGAATCACACTCTATAAGTAACTCACGCACGGGCTGGCATATGGTGCAGAAGCATGGACAATGAGAACATCCGAAAGAAAGATTTGCGGAAGATTTAGGGGCCTTTACGCATTGGCGAGTACCGCAGACGATGGATGAGCTGTATAAGCTTTACAACGGCATGGGCATAGTGCATTGAATTAAATACAGCGGCTTCGCTGGCTTGGCTAAGACGATCGAATGGACTTTGACGCTCCAGCTATGAATGTATTCAACTTTAAACCCGCTGGTGGTTTGCAATTGGCGTCAGTTGGCACAGAAGAGAAACAAGTGGCATGCTTTGTTCAACTCGGCCCAAATCGCTTATGCGCCATATAAGAAGAAGAAGAAAAAGAACAAGAAGAAGAAGAAAGCTAGGCAAGCAAATGAAAGGAATTCTCTTTTACGAGAAGTTTTATTTAAGTGGCACGGGAGCATGATGTAAATCTGGGCCAAAAAATTTCGTTATATGAAAGATAAATTACGTTGAACAGCTCATTTTCTTTTTTAAATTTAGTTGTTGTGAGGAGGAAGATGGAAGTTTTATTCTTCACTGAGGAATTTTTGCGAACTTTGTCCCAAAACACACTACTCAAAAAATCAAGCGAGGTTTTAAAAATAGGAACCAGTTCGAAAGCGCCCTACTTTAGAAAACTTATCAAAAACGCCCTACTTCAGAATTTTATTAAAAACGCCCTATTTCAGAATTTGATTTAAAAACCTCCTATCTCAGAATTTGGTTAAAGAACGTCCTATCTCAGCTGCCGATTCAAAAATGCCTTATCTTAGCACATTTTCAATGTATTTTCAGCTGAGATAGGGCGTTTTTGAACCGAACTCTGAGATAGGGCTGCCGAGATAGGTCGATCCTCCACTCAGGTGGCGAAATATTTTTCCTTACTCCAATCACAAAAAAAAATTGTTCAAATAATTGTCGTCCCAATGTACCAATCGTGTGACACTGCCTTAACAGTTGGTGTAGGCTTCTTAAATATTTCAAACTCATTTTTACTGTGGTATATACTCACAATCAGGAGATAGTCTTTGTGATACCACGAAAACTGAATGGAGACCATTATTTGGTCTTACGAATGCTTTGGTATTACGAATGCTGCTAACTTCGTCATCCTCTTAACAGGTAATACCGGAGGGATCAGTTAAGATTATTAATTTTACTGCGTGTATACCAATCGCACAATGGCATATCCGAAGTCTTCCAACAGTAACAGTTGAAGCTTTGCAACCATGGAGGGCTCCTTAGACTACTCTAGGCTAGAACGATCTTGCAATTGCATATGCCCTAGTTTTACCCAGCGCTCGCTGAGCTTACATGAAGCTCACAGTCCAAGAGTGAACCACAGGAGGACAGAGCCATCCCCAGTGCTCCATAACCGGTAATAGCGTTTTAAGTGTGCCTTATTGGAAAATACTATGAAATGGTTGATAGGGAGGTCAGACATTCTCTTACCAATTTCGAGCAAACCACCATAGCGTCCAGGGCCCCCTATAGCCGCCTGGCTAAGCCCCGCCTAAGTCGGTTTGCTCATAAATCATTGGCTCCACTAGCGCCCATGAAACGAACAATTTCGGCGGCTACAAACAATATCCACACGGTAGATGGGTCTCGCGTGTTAGTAGATGCTCTGAACGATAAGTGGAGATTGGGCTTCGATCACGGAATTCTAAGCTCGAGAATGGTGGTAGATGGTAACCAACTCTGCCAATGAATGCCGTTGATCACTCATCCGTACGCTGTCGGGTCCAGTGGTTGGTCGATGTAAGTTAAGACAGCGTGCATATTTTTCGGTTTGTTAACCGTCGGAATTTGTGTGCCATCGACGTAAGTACCTAGTTGAAGATTGATCTCTTTCGTCCAGGTGGTTAGACTCTGTATAGTGAAAAAGCGAGAATGTTTAGGGAAGTAACCGTTTACTTTCGAGTAGAGGTCATCAATCCCATTCTCGGATGCTAGTATCGAATAGTTGATATAGAAGTTAAACAGTAGTGGGCAGAGGACACCCCCTGTGGTACCCATTATTGGTTTTGAAGTTTGATCCGGAAAGGTTACTGACGAGTGTTGACCACTCGTATAATACGCCGACCCCCGTTTGAGTCCCTGTGGAACATAGGAAGTCTCAATGTCATCTAAATAGTGGCGTGAAATAACAGGCGGTATCAAACGCCTTTTGCTGGTCAAACGCTACTAGGACGGTTCTCTCACAAGGGCGTTTTTATGAACGTTTTAAATCTTTATGATCCGAAAAATCAAATCTCAAAATAGCGGTTATAATATGAACGCAAAAATGAAAATCTAAACTTGCGATACAAAATTTATCGAAAAAACAAGTACAGAAGTCTAAGTTCGGACGGAACCGAGCATTAAGTACCCGGCGCAATTATTAATTATAGTTTTTTCCACTTTTCCGAAAACTACCGCTACATGGTAAGCAGGGGTGGTTTTATCCATATTTCAAACATCTTCGATTCCATCGCCGATTTTCCAAAATTCCTTAAGAATACTACTTCTTTTCAAGGGATTTTTGTTAATATCAATTTTGAGTAAATTAGCGCCCTTAAATCTCGAAATATCGAAGTTTCAAGCATTTCTAAAATTTACCGTTATATGACAAATATGCGTAATTTTAGTCGCATTTCACAAGCACAATAATCATACCGAGTTTGGTACAAATTTATAAAACGGTTACCGAGTTACACATATGTGGTCATAAGTCTGCGATGCCACGCCGATTTTCCAAAATTTTATTGTAAACGTATTTTTTGCTAAAGAATTTTGAACAATTAGCTTTAGTATTTACTAATTTGTCGAAGATTTCTAAATTACCGTTATATGGGATGTGGGCTTGGTTATTGTCCGATTTTCAAAATTTTCAGCCATTTGGTATGTTGTACCAAGGCCAACTTGGTGGAGCAGTTACCAAGATATATACATGTAATCATAAAAGGGCGTGGCTACGCCCATTTTCCAAAAATGTATAATATTCTTATTTTTCGTCTAAAAAATTATTGCAAATATCAATTTTGAGGGAATAATCTTCAGTAGTTATTAAAATAGCGCAGTTTTCGTATTTCTGGGAGGTAGGCGTAGTTATTGTCCGATTTTTCCCATTTTCAATACCATCCGTCCATCGCCCGAAAGAAGTACACGTACTAAGTTTCCCTATGATATCTCAATCTTTACTCGAGTTATCGTGTACACAGATGGAGGGCCAGGCGGACGGACGGACGGACAGACAGTCACCGCTTAATCGATTTTTTTTTCATTCTGATCATTTATGTATACATTTGTCTATATCTATCTCGATTCGTTTTGCCTGTTACAAACAACCGTTATGTGAACAAAGTTATAATACCCTTGGGCACAAGCGCGCTCGGGTATAATAAAAATCCAAAAATAGCGATTATTCTTTCTCGTAAAATAAATATCCTAAAATAACGGTTAAATTTGATCGGCAAAATAGAAATCCAATTTGAACGATTAAACTATGATTTTTATTATAAAGATCATAACCACTACGGTCCTTTAATTTTACGTGTGTACGAGTATTTTATATTTTACGTATGTACCTGACAACGTGTCTCCGTATCAGCATAGTAGCCAGGAAGTCGGTTCCGGCATTTGAATGAAAGTCCTTTTGGCACCGATTCGTAGGCAGGATAATCTACGCCCGCAGTGTAGCCATCAACTTGCTGGAAGTAAAAATTAGAAAAAAAAATTTTAGAATAATGGCTTATTGCCAAGCTTAAGTTTAATATGCCATGTTACATTTTTTATAGTTTTTTGGACTTATTGAGGTATATTCTGGATTTTGTACGAATCGAAAATTTAAAATTTTTGTATAGACAATGATAGAAAAATTTCATGATTTTCGATTCGTACGAAAACAAGAATACGCCACATTATTTATGAATTATATGCATGCATGATCATATGCATGGGAGCATGTACATTGTATGGATGTGTGTATGTTTATTAAGGGTGTTCTAGTTTAAATTAAAAATCAAAATCTATAATTTCAAGCCATTTTAGCTAAACCATGATTAATATAAAAATTCGTTTTTGGAATGCGAACGGGCAGCATAAAAACGAACTACAAATTTTCCTAGAGCGCTTTCATATAGACATTTTTCTTGTATCTGAAACCCACCTTACGAATTTTAATAACTTTCAAATTAATGGGTACAAATTCTATGATACTAAGCATCCACAAGGGAAAGCCCGAGGTGGAACAGCCATTCTCATTCGTAACAGAACGAGCACTATGAATTAGAATCAAATAGTGGAGAGGTCATTCATAATATTGCAACACACATCGATGATCACTTGGGTGGCCTTAGTGTATCTGCTATATACCGCGGAAAACAATTTAATTACTTTTTCCCAAAGTTTGGCAGTAAGTTTATTGGAGCAGGAGATTACAATACCAAACATAAATACTTCGGGGGGTATAGATTAGAGCTCTAGATACCCCGGTATCGAGCAATGCGAGTAGCTCGATACTCGCTCGAAACTAGTTCATTGCTCAACTGCTCAAATGTTTGTTCAAAATTTTCGAGTTTTTGAACAATTTTATAAACAAAAGAAAATTTGTAAATTGTATTTGTCAGCAGCTGCTTTCTAATTCATGTTAAATAAATTATATTATTAAATACCAATGTAACAATCTTTGCATTATATATCAATAATTTGAAAAATTTAAAAAGTTGCTACCAAAAATGTCAATATAATAAAAAAAACATTGCTCAATTTACTCGAAAAAACTCGAATTGCTCGAGCTCATGCTCGAAAATTTTCGAGTAATGAGCATTGAACAAGTGTGCGAGTACTCGCGGCTCATATACCCGGGCTGTTTGAAAATGTGTGAACAAAATCGTGAGCTCTAGTCTAGATTGATTACACCACAGGTTATCAACTTATATAAAGTAATCTAGAACAGAGGATTTGACGTCTTGTCTACTGCCGCCCGATCTTATTGACTTTTGGGTAACAAATGATATTGCGCGATACCAAGCTAATAGAGAAGCATTATTTGATCTTTCTTTATATCACTCTCCTGTCTCTCAATGTTTATTACTTATGAAGAAAAAAAAATCTTACAAATAAGCGCACAAACTGGGTAAAATACAAAAAGTATGTCAGTTCGCATATTGACCTGCAAATTTTTATAAATTTTACTATTATTATTATTTTTAATTATATGTATGCATGAGCATATGTATGGGAGCATGTGCATTGCATGTATGTGTGCATATATATACGTATGTATTTATGACAAATAACGAAGTATTGCTCAACATACTTACATACATAAGTACGTATGAAAGCATCCACTTCGCGGCCTTCACTGAGTATTCAATTTTTTTGCATAATTAAATTTAAAAAATGTACACATAATATGTAATACAATACATATGTATGTATGTATGAGCGCCACAGAACCCTTCTAATGGGTGGATTTGTGGACGCAAATATGTAGTTTACATGACATGAGCGTGTCACTGAAACAATGGCATACGAATGTAGACATATGTATGTTAACAGCAATAATGGTAGTCCATAGTCGCAAACAGTGGCATAAGCCCTGTTCGCGTATGCACTATCCAGTAAATCCAGTACTAATTTTACTGGTTTTTTACTGAAAGTCGTTTTCGTACGCAAACACTTGCAAGAAACTAGCAAAGGTGGGGAAGATGAGAGAGCAAAAATGACAGCTTAACTTGCAAGCTTTACTGGATGAATTTTTAATAGCCACTAATTGCTAGTAAGAAAAAAACCTGATGGCATGATGCTTAATGTAATTCACATTACCAAAATAATTGTTTGTGGTGCTTTTAGAGCTGCAATTGACAAAATAAACCTATTTAAATGTATAATAAGATGGAAAATACTAGTTTTCTAAGAAAATTGCATCGGAAAATAACAAATTAATCAGCTGTTCATAAAACTAGCAACTTCTTGCTTGTTTTGCGTTTTCGTACTTTCTTGCAAATTTCACTCATTGGGAGTAAATATTGGCTTACTCTCCGAAATTTGGTTGCTGGCAAGTTACTGGATATTTTTTGCTGGAGAATACGAAAACACAACTACAGATAGTTCTATGTCATGTACGAGAATGCGATCTTTTCGATCAGGACTAAAACCTCAATCAATTTAAATCTAACTAAAAACTAGTAAAGAAGTATAAGTTCGGGCGAAACCGAACTTTATATACCCGGCGTAAGTATCAAATATCGTCGTTTCAACTTTCCCTGAACTAGCTTTGCATGATAAGTAGGGATGTTTACCCGACTTTATGACATAATTGAAACCAGGTAGGTACAAATCGAATAAGTGGTTACCGAGGTACACCTTTGTAGTTATTAAGTGGGTCTTATTTATTGTTATGGGATTGTTGTAACTATTAACTTAGAGTAAATTAGCGTCCTCATTGAAATATCGGAGTTTTCATATTTCTGAAATTTGCCATTATACCGGAAGCGGGTGTAATTTTAGTCCGATTTGAATAATTTTCAATAAATTGCTTTTCCGTATCAAGGTTATTAAGTGCACTGAGTTTGGTACAAATTGATAAATCGATTACCGAGATACACATTTGTTGTCATAAGTGGGCGGTGCCACGCTCATTATCCAAAAATTTATAATATTCAAATTTTATGCTAAGTGGTTATAGCAATCATCGATTTTAAGTGAATTAGATTAATTAGTTACTGATTTATCGCAATTTTCGTGTTTCTGTAAATTACCGTTATATGGCAGGTGGCTACTGAGATACAGCATTTCATCATAAGTGGGCGGTGCCACGCTCATTTTCCAAAAATTTCATAACAATATTATTTTTTATCACAATTCTACTCCACGTACTAATTTTCAACAATTTGCATCAAATATTTACTGAAATATCGCAGTTTTTGCAATTTTCGTTTTCCCCCATTTTAAATTGAATAAAGGGCAATCTACATACCAAATTTCGTTGAGATATCTCAATTTTTGCTCGAGTTATCGTGTACACGGACGGACGGACGGACGGACGGACGAACTGACAAAAATGGCTTAATCGACTTTTCTTTTCATTCCGATCATTTATGCATACATTTGTGCTTATCTATCTCGATTCGTTTTGGCTGTTACAAACAACCATTATACGAACAAAGTTAATATACACTTGTGCACAAGTGCGCTCGGGTATAATAAAACTAATTTTTTTTTTAGAATCTCATCGATAAATTAGTTAGCTTTGAGAGTGGAAGCACGATGCATTGATATAACAGGTAATCCATTCAAGTGCAAGACGTCAATATTTTGTTTTTAGATACTTCTGATGTAAGTATTTATGTATTCGATCGTCTGAAGTTCTCGACTCAATGGCAAAGAAAGCTGGTAGACCTTGATAATGGAATGAATGTAGCGCATTACAAATTCGAGATTCATAGCACTTTTTAACTTACATATAGAAGTATTCATTCACTCCCAAACTGTTTAATCCATTAATGAGCAAAATACATACTTTGGCTTTGCGCCTAGAACCAAAAAATACGAATAAATCAAAAATGTACATACATACTTATGTACATTTAAGGATCACCTAGCTTTTTAATAACAACAAACGAAATCACAATTTGGCGTATACATTTATACACACATGTAAGTGAAAAAGACATTACCTTCATTAAGTTTCTATAGGGTGGCGCCGAATTAGCTATATGGTTTAAATGGTTTATAACATTTTTATTTATGCGATTATTATATTTTTTTTGTTTTAATACAGTATATCTACGTACATACTTATATGTATATGGCTTGATGTTACAGATTAGTTGGAAGCTATTGTTATGCAATAAGGTTAATTGAATTTTTTGTTAAATGATTGACTGTGTAGGGTGGTAACCACCACAAACTAAATATAACCTATATGACTGAAACACTTGGATTCTAAATGTGATGTGTTTACACATACTTTAAAATTAAAAGTTTTAATGTAAACATTTTTTTTACTATTAATTATAGACTATATACACATATGTGCATATGTTATGAAATGTAGCAGTTGTGTTTTGTATATTTTTTTCTCAATAAAAAAAAATTGGTAACTTTTCTTAAGAAATTTTGGTAGAAAAAAATTTGGGTGAGTGGCAACCATGCTAATGAGGTCCTTGTTTGCAGGCAGTGTGACCGTTTTGATCCAAGTGGATCAAAACTGATACATTTTTCGATGAATTTTGGAGAGATCCTTTTTTTTCAATTTTGATACTTTTCCAAATACAAATGAAAAAAATCTGTAAATTTGTATGTGTAACATAACATGTCGTGCACCTGTGGCAACGTACATCCAAAAGTTCATTGTCGTTCTCTGAACGAACCTTTCATGTATTGTGATTCATGGTCCATGTCGAAAAACGTCAAAATGTGAACAAACGAACAGTATCATAGCGCTGCATTTTTTTATTTTCGCTATGTTCAATAACAAAAATTAGGGCTTGGTACTCGGCAATTCGGTGCTCGGTACGGCCCTGTTTCCACAGGAAAACACCAATGTCGTGATAACCATATACAAAATATATTTCCAATGGATACCGCCTTATTGCTCGACATCTATTGCAGGCAATTTGATAGTTTGACAGCCATATTTTCACTTGATAGAAAAGCGTGCTGGTGGTTATCTCGATGAAATATTAATATTAAATCAAAATAA